ACTAAACTTAATTTCCATCTTGCCTTCCTTCCCAGAGTTTGGGCTACCTAAAAATCTCCAATTCTCTACTCTGGACAAGGGTGGTCCATCCTGAATTATCTCATTACTTAGTGTATATTCATATATGTTCCAAAGAACTCACAGAAGCAAAAGGCATTTCTAACACTTGGAAATTTTTAAGAATTTAGATTGTCCCTCCCAGGAGCCAGGGACAAAAATGAATTTATTTGGCAGTGCTGGGTATCAACCTCAGGGCCTTGTGCATACTAAGCAAATATTTTACCTCTGAGCTATACCCACAGCCTTAAATTTCTCATTTTGAACAGATATCTTTGATGAAACAGTGAAAATCACTCATTTTCTCTCTTTCCTTTGCAATGCTGGGTATATTTAAGCAAGGACCAGCCACACACTAGGCAAGCACTCTAAGCTATACACTCAGCTAACAGTAAATATTATTGGTGTTACTAAATTTCAGTCTTTGACTACATCTTTATATTCTATCTGACAAGCTGGAAAACACGTATAAAGCATCTGTTTCATACCAAAGAACAGTTATCTTAAGGAAAAGCAAAAAAGCATTTTTATAATTGTTGCACTTAGAAACGAACTAGCCATTTTCATGAAACACCATTTTTACTTGAGAAAATGAGAAACTATAGCTATTGGGAAACATTTTGTTAAAAATAAATCAAAGGAGTTGGGGATTTAGCTTAGCAGCACAGCACCAGCTTGGCAAGTGCAAGCTCCTGAGTTTGGTCCCCGGTACCCTAAGAAAAGGAAATCAAGGGATCCTGTCACTTGAAGAAACTATACGAACTTTTGAAATTTGTATACACTGTGCTTTTGAGAGCTGAAGCATCAACATTCAGAAGATCTGTGTAGCTTCCCCTACCGCGAGCTGCCATCGCTCTGGCACCAGGAGGGCTGCCTGGGCCCTGATCCACTGTGGGAAGGATAGCCACACCTTCCCCCACCGGGAGCTGCTATCGCTCCAGCACTGGGAAGGCAACCCCCCCGCACCGGCCCCTGCACGCTCAGACCTCCTGATTGAGCCAGTCTTTGGATCCATTCTGTAGAGGCAGAGGTGGTCATAGAAGGTATTTTTTCTGAGTTCCCAACGTTGAATATCTTTAAAGAAAGGGCGTGGGAAACCTGTAGAACAGTCTGGAGTTCAACAGTTCAGAAGGTTGGGGAACTCAATTTGGGCCTTGCAGCCCGAGGTCAGTCTGTGTCATGGGGTTCAGCCATCAGCTAACTAAGATCAGGGGTCTTGAGTCCTAGCTCTGTGTGAGTCCCCATCCTAAAGGATAAATATACTATATTGAAAAGTTTGTTCACTGAAGACATGTTTTGGACTGCTTCCTGATTTCAATTTAATTCAAATGGTTTAAGGGTGATAGACTAGTGATTACCACAGGTGGTCAGTTTCCAAGTTGTGCTTGATCATACTGTGTTGCTGGTTGGGATAAAGGATTGTGGTTGATTCGAAAAGCTGTTTTCTCTGATGTTATGGAGATGAGAATGTCTGAGGGTCGTTAGAGACCCAGAAGTTAGGGTGCAACGATATCAGGAAGATTTGGGTGATAACCCAGAGATTAAACCAAGGACAGCCCAACAACAAAAATAAAAATGAGAAAACACTTAAGCAAGACACAAAGACAGACTTCCAGTTCACCAATGGCAAACAGTAGGACAAATGAGGATGAAAAGGCCGATAGTGAACCACCAGGACACCCTGAACTCAAAGCACAGGAGGCAACAAAACAGATCAATCAGGCTCTAGAAAAATTCAAAACAGAAATAATTTCCCAGATAACCACAGAGATGGTGAGCAAAATGAAAGTTCTGATTCAAGACTCTACAACAGAAACTGACAAAAAAATAGATGAGCTCAGGACCACGACAGAAGCCATGAAGGCCCAGTATAAGAAAGAAACGGAAACAATAAACGCCCAACATAGGAAAGAAATGGAATCCATAAAACAGATTCAAACAGATATCCAGGAGATTAAATACTCCATGGAAAGTGTACACAACAGAATAAAAGAATGCAAAGATAGAATCTCAGATATAGAAGATAAGATTGCAGTCAGTGACCCTGAAAAGAGAGGTCTCTTAAAAACAGTAGGGGATCATGAGAAATCGATCCAGCAACTCCTAGATGATGCAAAGAAGAATAACATAAGACTGATAGGAATCCATGAATTAGCAGGAGACAATGCAAATGACTTAATACAAATGACTTAAAAAAACTGTTCACAGAATTAATGACAGAAAACTTCCCAAACAGAGGGGAAGAATTTGACATTCAGATAAGCGAGGCATATAGGACACCAACTAGCCACAATCAAAAAAAATCTACACCTAGACATATAATAATCAAGATCCCAGAAACCCAACAGAAGAACAAAATACTACAAGCCGTAAGAGAAAAGAAACAAATCACATGCAAAGGAAAGCCCATCAGAATCAAAGCAGACTTTTCAACACAAACCCTTAGGGCAAGGACAGCCTCGAATAAGATATTTCAAGTACTAAAAGAGAACAACCTACAACCTAGACTGATGTATCCTGCAAAACTCTCTTTCAAAATAGATGGGGAAATAAGATACTTCCAAGACAAAGAACACCTGAGAAACTACACAAATACCAAACCAGCACTATAAGCAATTCTAAACAATATCCTAGAAAAAGACAATAAAGGTAACAACACCATGAGGCCCAACAAAGCAAATCAAATAGGCAAGGCAAGAAACTAAAAGGAGAAGGTGAAAAGTAAAAAGAGTCAAAAAAAGGCCATAACAGGACAATAATGTCAGTACATATCAGTTATAACCATCAATGTCAATGGCCTTAACTCACCAATCAAGAGAAATAGACTGGCAGAACAGAAGATCTGTGTAACTGAATCATTATTTTCTAAGTAACCAATATACTAAATAACACAAATGTGAAAAATCTATGGAAAGACCGATGGATTTTAAAGTAACAGAACATAACATTCATCGTACAGTTTCAGATTCCACTTTTGTGACAAGGCTTCACTGTATAATTTACACTGGCCTTGGATTCACTATATACCAGACTGTACTCCAAGCTTGATCTTTCTGCTCAGACTCCAGAGTAGCAGGGATTACAGATGTGTACCACCACATGCGGCTAGGAACTTTTAAAAACTACTAAATTACTCCTATAATGACAGCATTTTGAGAAGATGATGCAGAGTGTTCACAAATTTGAGCTTAGCTGCTTCAACTTAGCAAGACCCATCTCAAAATTTAACAAAAACAAACAAATCCAAAAAACTAATTGTCAAGTTTTGGTGCTAGGCCAAAAGAAAGCTACTCGTAACTACCTAGAAAGACTATTAAAATACTATACTCTTCCCCAATTAGACTTTTTCTTATCCTGCAAATAAGATACTAAGAGATTTAATGTAGAAACTGATGTAACAAGCTAGATATCTCATTATTTTCTATTAATGCAGATTTTAAGAGATTTATATAACAATGCTATTCTTTTATTACATTTTTAGAAATTACTATTTCATTAAAAATATTTATTGATGAGCGTGGTGGCCAATACCTATAATACCAGCACTCAGGAAGGGCCTAAAATTTAGCTCAGTGCTGCCACCGTCTGCCTCACAAGTGCAAGATCCCAAATTCAATTGCCAGTACCTCCCCCCAAAAAGAAATATAAGGATAAAATGAAGCAAGACATCTTTCTTTTCTTTTTCTCTTTTTTTTGGTACTGGGGATTGAACTCGGGTCCTTGCACTTGCAAGGCAGGCCACCAAACTGCTGAGCTAAATCCCCGGCCCAGAAAGACATCGTTCTAAAGAAAATATACTAGCATTCCAGTAAAGCAGGAACAAGTGATCAGATTCTTAGGTTCTTCTAGTTACTTTTCAGTTCTCTCCTAAAATTCAACAAGCCAAAAGGCATTAAGATGGTAAAAAACCAATACCAATTCTCATCTTAATCTAGGTGAGTCCTAGAAAAGGCACAAAAAGGATTAGCTAAATTTTACTTTGTTTTTCTAGCTTACTATCAATGTTCTAATTCTACAACATTTACTTTATTTTTGCTGTTGGGGATTATACTCAGAGGCTAAGGCATATTAAAGAGGAAGTGTTACCACTGAGCCACAGCCCCAGCACAATTTTTATATTAAAATAAACATTCAGGTTGGACATGGTGGCATAGAGCTGTAATCCTAGCACTTGAGAGGCTGAGGCAGGAAGATTTCTGAGAGTTCAAACCAGCCTGGGCGATACTGTGAATTTAAGGCCAGTTTCAACTACATAGTGAGACCCTGTCTCAAAAGAGAAACAAGACAAAATAAAAGTCCCTCCCAAACAAAACCCAACAGTGGTCGTAACAGCTTTGAGGGCTACTACATTCTACATTTTTTTTTTTTTTGTACCCAGGGATTGAACTCAGGACCTTGTGCTTATGAGGCAGGCTCTGTGCTACTGAGCTAAATCCCTGGCCCAGGTTATCACATTTTATTTGTTTTTTGGTTTTTTTGAGACAGGGTCTCACTAAGTAGTTGAGATTGACCTAGAATTCACTATGTAGTCCAGGCTGGTCTGAACTCACAGCAATCCTCCTGCCTCAGCCTTCTAGTGCTGGGATTACAGGCATGCGCCACCACGCCTGGCGTTATTACATTTTAAATGTAAAGATGGCTGACACCTCCAAATTTCAGAAACCAAGTAGAATGTACAGTTCTATGAAGTAAAATAGTCAATGCAAAAGCAAGAAAAATAATTCATATATTATGTAAATAAAATAGTTACAAATATAAACCAGGTGTGGTGGCACACATCTGTAATCCCAGCATTTTGGAGGCTGAGGCCAGTCTGGGATACCTGGTCAGTTCAAGTTACAAAGCAAGAGTCTGTCTCAAAAAAACCAAAACCAAAACTAAAACCAAAAAATAGTAGCTAAAAGTTTATTTAAAGTAGAAGGCAAACATCACCTACTACTTACCAGGATTATGCTGAGTTGTAAATCCTCCATTCTGAAATACATCTCCTGCCATATTCATTCTACCAGGATTAAAAGGTCTTACTCCAGTCTTGGTCTGTGAAGTTAAAGATGGGGTGTATGTTTGTATATTAACACCATAATTACTTGACTGTGGTCTGTTAGCGCATCTCCCAAGTTGGCACTCTACAGTGCTTGTTATAAAGTGTGATTAAGTTCATATCTTGCCCAGCATTCAGAGTTTACACCTGTTTCTAATGCTGTAACATTAGTAATACGTATTTCAGAGTCTGGTTCTGTAGAGATAACACTATTACCCATTCCTGCAATTACCTTACTTGTTGAATGACCTGATGTGGAGAAATCCAAAGCTTTGGTACTGTTTTTAGTTCCAGGAAGTCCCCACTTAGTAATACTGGGAGAATTTTTTCTCTCCCCTTCATTCGTTTCTATGTCCTCTTCATCATCAATAACAATTGTCTCACACATATTTCCTTTCTGATAAGCCAACTCTCTTGAGAAAGGGAGAATCACAGAACAATTTCCTTGTGGCTTTTCAGGTTTTGATGATGCAAATATAAAGTTTCTTTGATCAGCTACTGCTGGAGCAGAAATTGAAGGAGGTTGTATAGATTCAATAAATACAACATCATCATCATCTTCCACTGATGAGTTTCTAGATCTATTGACTAAAGGACTTGTGGTATCATCACATGAATTTCCTATGTCCATGAAACTAGCTGTTATAGCTGTACTTCCTAATACAGCACAAGTGTGGTCAGTCAAGTCTAACCTTCCCATCGATGGATCGTCCATGCCAAACAACCTATGAGACAGAGAAAAGAAAAAAAACATATTCTGTTTCACATTTTATTGCAATGAAGTAAACAGTACAGGCAAAAAATTTAAATCTCTCCTTTTTTTTTTCTTTTGATGGGGTGAGACTGGTCTCAAACTTGTGATCCTCCTGCCTCAGCCTTCTGTGTAATGGGATTACAGGCCTGTGCCTCCATATTTGTCTTTAAAAAAATCTCATTATTTTTGGTTTTTTGACACATTCTCACTGTGTAGCCCAGGCTGGCCTCAAATTTGCAGCAACCCTCTTGCCTCAGTCTCCCAAGTGCTGGCACTACAGGCATGTACCACCACGCTTAGCCCAAAAAAAATTGTTTTTCTTTAGCCCAAAAATTTTTATGTGACCTTTTTTGTGGTACTATAGATTGAATTTAGGACCTTGTTCTTGCCAGGCAGGCACGGCACCACTAAGCTAAATCCCTGGCCTTCTTTGTGTGACTTATCTCAACTTGTAGAAAAAAAACCTGATAATCGTTCTGCTTATCCTTTCCTTTTTATTTTCCTGTATTAAAAACCACTTAAAGGGGCCAGGTATATAGCTTAGAGGTTCCACTGCCTGCCTTGCAAGCACAAGGTCCTGAATTTGATTCCCAGTACCAAAACAAAACAAAACAACAACAACAAAAACACATTTAATAAGCCAAGTGTGGTAGCACATGCTTATAATCCTAGCATTTGGGATGCTGAGGCAAGAGGATCTCTTTGAGTTCAAGGCCAGCAGGAGCTACATAGCAAGTTCAAGTTCAGCCTAAACTACACAGTGAAACCTTATCTCAAAAACAACAAGCAGGACCGGGGATTTAGCTCAGTGGTTTTGCCACCTGCCTTGTAAGCACAAGGGCCCAAGTTAGATCCCCGATATCAAAAATCAAACAATAAGTCACTTAATATTTAGTTCTATGGAGTTTGATAGAAATGTACTATGTAATCTTTGGCAGTGTGTCAAAAGTATCTGTTCAATTTATAGTACTCATTATATCAACATTTGTAGTGGAAAAAATACCTAATTTTCCTTTGAATTAGAAAGTAGTAGCAAAATTCTATTAACACAGAGTCTATTATAACTAATCTTCATTTCCTTAGTGTCTGTTTTCAGTTTTTTCAAATTGTTTCCAACACAACTGTGATTATATCTTTCTAAATCTTTCTTATCCTTGCCTAGGAATCTTATGTACTTTTGTGTTAGTTATCATGCTACGGATATTTTACGTAAAATTCTCAGAACACCTCCGTAATGATCACTATAATTTACTCTATTTTAGAGATCAAAAAATTGAAATTTAGAGAAGCAAACTATATTGTTCTAGGTAAATCTAGGTAGGACTGAAATTTAGGAATCCAACTCTAGGCCACAATTTTTTTTTTTTTTTTTTTTTTGAAACAGGGTCTCCCTGTGTAGTTGAGGTTGGCCTTGGGCTACATACCAGGCCGGCCTCTAATTCTCAGAAATCCTCCTGCCTCCTGAGTGCTGGGATTACAGGCATGTAGCAACAAGCTTGGTGGGGCGACAAGTTTTTGACTACTCTTGTTATATTCAACAAACATTTATGCCACGTAAGATGACACAGCTTGAGTCAGGAGGATCATTTTGAGTTTAAGGCCATTGTAGGTTACATAGTGAATTAAAGGACTATCAGAACTCTATATAGCAAGACTCTGTCCCCAAAAAAGTGTGCCTGGGTTGGGAATTTAGCTCAGTGGTGCCAAGGCATTCCTCACAAGAACAAGGTCCTGAGTTTGATCCCTGGCACACACAAAAAAAGTGTACCTAGTGTACACTATACGATGATTAATAAGGGGTGCAGAGAGAGACAGCAGTTGAAAAATCTAGATACATGAGTAACTGAAGGAGCATTGCTCTTGAGCAAATAAGAACTGAATTAACACCAAGAGGGCATGGGCCGGGGATTTAGCTCAGCAGTTTGGTGGCCTGCCTTGCAAGCGCAAGGACCCGAGTTCGATCCCTGGTACCACACCAAAAACTAGCCTTAATTACCTCAGGAGAGTAGAAAATTAAAAGTACATAAAAGGGGTGGGGAAACTGAAGTTATTCACAATTAAGAAAATTCACATCATAAGGCAGCCATTATTCTGTTTCAAGTAACATTATTTTTATTCTAAAGTTTTCCAAATTTCAACTGGTAATACAGCCATGTAATGTGTAATATTTATTTATTTAAATATTTTTAAAAAGACAGGCTGATCTTGAACTCACTATGCAGCCCAAATTGGCCTCAAACTGGCACAGATCCTCCTGGCTCATCTTTCTATCTGCTGGGATTACGTACAGTCGTGTACCATCACGCTCAGCATTCTATTCTTAACATGTGCTATGCCATAGTTTTTCTACTTTATCAATAAGGAAACTAAGACTCAGAAGATAAGTAATCTAACCAACTCTCTACTGCTGGAAAAGGTAGAATAAGAATTCAAATCTAAGAAATTTGACCCTAGAACCAACTAAATAGCTACTATATTAAATTCAATTAAGGTGAAAACAAGGTTTAAAAATTACTTCTTTTATTAAGGTGAACCCATTCATTACAACAATAAAATCAACATTCAAATAACACTCTTACAAAGATAAATAAAAAGGCTGGGGCTCTAGGTCAGTGGTAAAGCACTTGCTAGCATGAACTAGGTCCTAGTTCAATTCCTGGCACCCCCTTCCCTATCTATCTACTATTCACTAAATACATGTGTGCTCCACAACATTGCCTAGGCACTTTACCTGTTTTTTGATTCTTTCAATCATCAACCTTGGAAGATAGATTTAATTCACTCATTTATAAAATGTGCTTCATAAGGGCTCAGAAAAAGAGAGACAATGAAAAGACAGCAGAGATTTGAGACTTTGTGGCACTGGGGATAGTAACCAGGACTTGCACATTCTCCAGGCAAGCACTCTACCACTAAACCACATCATCCAACAAGAGCAGGTATAAATCTTATTCTGGCTAGCACCCACACCATGTTCTTTGCATTACAATAGTGGTGGTGAAACCATGGCATGCATGTTTTTCTTTTAAGACAAAAGGTGTTAGCGTATGAGTTGTTTTTTGCTAAACTAAAAATTCAGTATTCAGGTTGGCACTTTGCAATAAACAGGTGGGTTTTGGGTTGCAATTTGGGCACTTGTCTCTAAAAGGTTCGCAATCATTGCATTAAAGCATGCTGCAAAAAACCTGGGAAATGGTTTTGTAAGTGAAGTTGTTGTAACTGAGTCAGTGACATTCTACCCTGCAAATTTTTAGTCCCAGCTAGTTTCCTTTCTCTACATAAATCCATTAGAGTTCTAGAACCACATCCACATCCCATGATCTCACTAAACTTCTACTATGGAATATGAAATATTATTGCTTCAGGCATACTATAACAATTACCCACACAAAACAGTATCTTTGGTAAATACATGCCAGGCCCTGAGTTCAATCTCTAACACCAAAGGGAGGAAAATAAAGAAAATGTAATTATCTTTTCTTTTTTTTTTTTTTTTTTAAAAAAA